CCCCACTCCCACTGAAGGCAAGACACCAGAATATAAGCTGACAGCAAACAGTACTTCTTACTAGCACTGATAATGTTACCTAGTTAGGGTAATGAAATGTTTGCAAGAAAATAAGCAGGCTCAGAGAGCACCTCAATCTACATATAGTTAGAGAGCAAATTTGCATCTGTTACCACTAGAGGACAACCTTTGCTTATAAAATAAAACTGGGGAAACTTGACAGTCTTTGGGTATAATACCAGGAGCTTGTAAGCTACTGAAAGAGAAAGCAAAATCAAACTTTGCCTGATTATCTCAAAGTGTATTTAACTAGCATTAAGAAAGGGAGGTCCACTTCTTTTGTGCTCTGAATCTGCTGAATATAAAACTACAGGATAAATGCTGTTTCCCTGATGTCAACGGACTAGAAAATTAGAGGCACAGGTTAACTTCAGGAATAATTAACCATTTGGCACTTGGTTTACTTGTTAACTTTCCTTGTTCCAGTAATTAGGATTTCAACATTTCCTGAACTGTCTAAGGAAGTACGGAAAACTAATTTTTTTAATAAGATTGGGTATATTTATTATTAAGGTAAAACCTCTGAAAAGGTAAGCTACTAAGTTCCTACCCCAAACCATGGTAATTATTCTGCCCAGACAGTACATCTTTTTGGTTATTTGTGCCAAGAGAGCATCAACATCACAGTCCTTAGTAGCATTCTTGACTGTTTTAAAAATATGCCCCTTGTCTCTGCTGGCAGTAACACCTGGCAGACATCTGATCTCTTTCAAAACCTCCGTATCCTTTCCTAAATGATAGGTATGTCAGGATAAGCAATGTTTTGAATAGCTCAGAAAAGGAGTAAGAAATAAATAAGTCAAGAAAATTAAAGAGATAAATCTAATTTAAACTTAGTACCATTCATTATACCTCTTCATACCTTCCAAACCACTTTTGTCTATATCGTGTCCATGCAGTGCTTCATGCTCATATAGCCTTTTATTCTATTCCTGTCTCTTTCTGATTCAGGATTTCATTAACTCTATAGATGTTGAGTTGAGACTCTAGAAAAGGTGCAGAGAAGAGCAACCAGGATGATTAGGGGACTGGAGACTAAGGAATATGAAGAACGGTTACAGGAACTGGGCTTGGCTAGTCTAGTGAAGAGAAGGACCAAGGGAGACATGATAGCAGTCTTGCAATATTTGAGGGGCTGCCACAAAGAGGAAGCGGTCAAGCTATCTTCTAAAGCGCCTGTAGGCCAGACAAGGAATAATGGATGGAAATTGAACAAGGAGAGATTTAACCTGGAAATAAGGAGAAACTTTCTGACTGTGAGAACAATCAACCAATGGAACAGCTTGCCCTTGGAGTTGTGGGAGCGCCATCACTTGAGACTTTCAAGGAGAGATTGGACACCCATCTGTCAGAAATGGTGTAGGGTCTCCCACTTGGGTGGGGGGTTGGACTAGATGACCTATAAAGTCCCTTCCAACTCTGATTATCTGTTATCTGTTATCCTATCTGATCACCAACACATTTTACTGGCTTTCTCTTGAATTATTCGCTCTTCTTTTATGTATTTATTTAGTGATTCAATCCTCATTCATCCTCTGTACTATATATTGCCAAATTACTTTGATGTACAGTACAATACTCCATATCCAATCCAAAATTGATTCAATTTGCATTCTTACTTGCGTCTATCTTTTCTACTTTACTATTTGTTAGTATTTTGCTTCTATTTCATACAACTACTTTTTTGTGTATCTCCTAATATAGCCAATTCACGGCCATATAATCAAAATGGGCAAAGACATTATCTAATCCAAATCCATTTTCAGTTCAACAAATGCACCATGGGCAACATAGACACATTTCTGTTGCTGAGCAAGAATGTTGTTAAGTGAGTTTTGCCCCTATTTTATTATCTCTCTTGCCATGCAGTTGTTAAGTTAGTAACATGGTTGTAACATGAATCTGGATTCCCTATTGACTTCCCTTGTCAGAAGGTTGCAAAAGGTGATCACATGACCCCGAGACCTGGCAACCATCCTAAATATGAGCCTGTTGCTAAGCATCCAAATTTTGATCACGTGACCATGGGAATGCTGCAGTGGTTGTGATATGACACTTCATTATACACTTTGTTCTGTAGTGTAGTGGTTATTCATTGCTGTAGTGAACTTTGGTCACTAAGTGAAAAATTGTAAGTTGAATATCTACTTATCCTATCAAACCAAGCAGAAAGGGAGGTTGGGCAACCTGTCTATGAAGGAATGTTATTTGATGGGGACAAACCTTTTCTACCACACTGCTTGGAACATCATAACCCCCAGGGTGAGGTTGGCCCAGACCTTACTGGGCTTCAGGAAGTGCCTTAAGACATGACTTTGTCATCAGGCCAGGGAGGTTGGTAGAAAGCTTGCTAAGGGATTGTTCTCGTCTACTTTGATGCCATGCCACTCTTTTTCATTTCTTTCCAGCTTTTTCCCCCACAAAATCTACTTTCCTCACCATCAAAAAAATGTTTCTCTCTAGTTGCTCACCACTCTTCTATTATCCCTTAATTCTCCATGTTTCATCCTAAACAATCAAATCAGTCATGGTTTTGAACTTGCACTTCTTGTACTCTGTGTAAGTAGGCATTATTAAACTTTATATTTAACTCAAATGGTTGTTTTTCTAAACAAATGCTCATCAAATGCCATTTTTATATCTCTGACAAGTTGAAAATATAGTCCACTGTGGATGAAAAGATAAAAATGTGTACTGTGTCAGAATGAATTGGTTTTATCTAGGTTATTGAGTACATCAATGAAAAGTAGGATTTGCCAGCTCCTGTTTATCCAATGAACTGTGATAAACAAAAAAATAGATGAGATTTGGGAAATATTATAGATTATGAATATGATGCATGGGGGAAAATAGTCTGTTTGATGGCATGAATGGATGGGTGGGAATGAGAGAGACCACGAACTATAACTATGCCTCCCTGCATGTATTCTCAACTCTCCTTTATAAGAGAAAGTCATCTTCCTCCAGGTCCACTGTAGAGATTCCATTCCAGTTTATCCATACAACTTACCTGTTTTTTTCTTCCTTCCTTAGTTTCATTCATTGATTCATGCTCCTTAATCCATTTAGTCTCTTATATTCCAAGTAGTAATCTTTGATTTTGTCATCAGACAGACTCAAACACGCTGATTTCTGTTTCCTTGGTGAAATGAAGTATTCCCATATAATTTTCATGTTATTACAAACATTTTTTAAAAGGTAACTTGATGTGAATGGGATTTAATTGACATTCATGGATTATTCTCTCCCAGAAAGATTCATTAAAGTTTTGTTGGGTATGGAAGGCATAGACTAAGATATTTATGCCTTCATTCATTTAATTTTTAACCACAGTTTTCATTTAGTAGCTCAGTGCAGCATACATAGCATCCTCTTTTATTTTTCTCCCAAATCAACCCTGTAAAGTAGGTATACTGAGAACTTCTCAATATGGAATAAACCTTTGACAGACTCCAAAATGCAAGAAAGACAAGTTGAGATCCTTCTACGCAATTTTCTTTATTGCTTCTCATCTAGAGATAGAAATCTTGTCAAACCAAAGCAGACTGCTTCCACCCAAAATATGTACTCAAAGAATGACTAGGGAGAGGCCATCTTCACCTTCTTTCTCTGACACAAACTATCCAAACTGTGTTATTTTTTGCTCCTCTGGAATGTACCCTCTCCCTCCAGGGAATCTGGACAACAGCCTTCTTGACTAAGGCCACTGCCCCAGTGCCAGTACAGCCCTTAATCTCTACACTGCAGTGACTTTGTGTGCTTACCAGTGCTGGTGAGATCCACATCTCATGCAGCATTCCCTGTCAACAGTAAGAACAGTTCTGAATAGATTTGAGATATGCTGGCTTCTTGTGTGCCACTATAACAGCCCCAAAATCACAACTGATCTAGGCGATATGCAAGCAAACATACTATTGCTGGCATTCCACAAGGTACATATAATGTTCTGCCATATACGCATACCCACTTGGAGGCTTTTCCAATTTATTCATGGATAATTCTACTAACTATGCAAGGTAATTCATTTTAATGATAAAAGTTTAAAATTCCAGTTACCTCCATTTATGGCTGTTTATAATAATCTGTTGACTTATACTATACCTGCCATTATTAAGGGCTTGGAAAGGCAGACTGAATGTTTCTAAAGAGACATTAATTTGAAAATTAAGATTCAAGGGCTTTCCAATATCTAATGCAATTTGTTCTCATATTATTCCACCCACCCAGAAGTACATCCTTAAAAAAAAACTTTCATCATGTAAATCTCTGCTTCATATTCTATCTTTTAAAAAATGTACAATATAGCACGACAATAAACTTAATTAACATTGAGTCATCTTTCAATTAACTACCTCATCTAAGGCAAAGCATGTGACTCCTTAAAGGAAAAAAGGAACTTTAATTTGAAGGAGTAGGTCAATACAGCAGAAGGGGGGGAAAACACAGAATGAAACTATAATTACTGTTGAATATTTTCCATATCTGTTCGGAAGCATTTTTAATCTGCTTAAACTTACTGAAACATTATCCTTATCAGTAAAAATGGAACAAGAATCAAATAAATTGTTATCGGAAACATGGCCAGATTGCAATTTGTACATGATGCTTGGATGTTTATTTCAGCATATTGGTTGTATTAATGAATTTGGGGATGTAGAAAGACAGTTAAGCTTTGTATGGTATTCAGCTTTGTTTGGGTGTTTTCCCACGTCATTATAGTTGTGCTTTTAAAGTTGTAGCAACGTTTCGGCAGAATCTCATCTGCCATCATCAGGCTTCTGTACTGTGTTCATCTGTGAGTCAGTTAAGTTTTGATAATAAACAGTTAAGCTTTGATAATATACCTTACTTAGCCCAGCTTACTCGGACAGCCAGGCACCATTTGCAACCAGAAAATTCACAACACAGGATATGTCAACTGTAAGGATTTTTTTGAAATCTTTGAGATTTACAGTATAGAACAGCCCACATAATTTGCTGTATCTATACTATTCATCTACTCACAATCAGGTTTTTCAAAAAGAACAATAATACTGGCCCAGTTGGAACAAAGAACAATAGGTCTGAGATAGGTTTATATGCATTTGCCTGGAAGTTTTCAACTTAACTCTGTTCTTTAAGAGATCTGCACAAAATTTCAACACCCCCGCCCCCCAGCCCCAACTCCATTAAGAATTATATACTTTAGACTCAAAAGTGGCTAAATTCATCTTGTTAAATCTCTCTATATAAAAAGTTCAGAGATTTTTGGGCACTGTACAGCATAAAATTGCAGAAATAAGTAATAAATTTTGCATTCATGAAAAGTAGAAGAAACTGAATACACAAAAGCTGGAGGAATTAAAAGATGACACTTTTGTGATAAACACAATGGCTATACTGTGACCCAGTGATTCTAAGTATAAATTTTTAAAAATATACATGTAAATGCATTTTGCAAGGAAGTTTGTTATTCTCTTTTAGGATAAGCAGGAAGTTCCACATTTCTTTCCCAATACTAAAAGCAGGATTCTGCTACAGGGAGCATTAGCACATGTATCTAAATTATCATGGTCCCTAACACATAAATTGTTTACTTGCAAGTAAGTTACTACACTGTAGTTCAGCTAGTCTTCACTGTCTGTTTACTCTAGATAAATGACAGACACAGAATCTATAATTTTCAAAAACCATCACCATTGCACATGGACTAAAGGATTTCTATTTATTTTAATCATTGCCGGGAACAAGACAGTCTCCCTGCGCCCCACACCTGCAATAAGTTAAGCCAACGAGTCCTTCAAGCCAAGCCACTTCATTTTCTCTAGTAATTATAGTGTTCATAGACATCTAGATCTTGAGGAACTATGAAATCTATAGATCCAATAGTAACACTTCATTTATTGGGCACTTTGTTGAGAAGCTTTATAACTTATACCAGGATTATTAAGAGAACAAAAGGAGACAGCTCTTCAACTAAGCCTGAGAGTCACATGGGCAACTGTCCACTAAATGACTGAAAAATGATGAGTGTTGTGTAGCTAAGCATCTCTGCATACCAATGGCAAAAATCTATATAAGCCGCTCAACTTGAGCATCTTATGAGTCACATGGCAGCTGTGGCCAATCCAGGAAATTCACAGTTATGCTGGTAGTCGGTGTAGAAAGAAAGTCCAACCCAGTCTGGTAGTATGTTTTTCAGCCTTTCAGGTAAGATACTGCACTACGAGGAACATGATTATGCATGTCACAAGCATGCCACCAATCATGAAGTACTTATCCTGGAAGGCACGTTTCTCAATGAGACGCATTACTGTATTAGATAAACCAAGCATATTGGCAACATCCATTATTTTCTTGTGAGTGCCCTAAAAGTGACAGAAAAAAAAAATGATAATATTAGTTTAAAAAAAGTTGTCAGAAAGGGTTTTTGACTATCAAAGTATATCTCTTCAGATATTTCCTACAGAGCCTTCAGTCTCTCCAGAAGCAAGATACACAGTTTACACAAACATGTGAACCACTTTATTTTACATACCCATTTTTTCTCACCCACTCTAAATTTCCAACCAACAACCTTTTGCTCTTCAGAAATTCTTTATAACTCTTATGCCTTCTGTAAGCATCTACAGTCACCTGAAATTTTAAAAATGATTTGGGAAGGATAGGAGGGGAGAGGAGAGAAGAAGAGTAGTATTTTCTATTTTTATTTAATATTTCCTTTCTGCTTTTAAAATTATCCCATATTATTGCTCAATCCAATAGAAGAGTGTTTTAAAATGTATACAGTTGAAATGGCATTATCAGCTGTCTTGCAAATTAAGATCAGTTTAAATGGCAATATACTTGTGGATCATGATTTACTCATTGCAGAGGGGCTGATTTTGCACCACAGGCTGACTCCTGACTGTTCTACACAACTTCCTTGCATACAGTTTGCAATCACAAACTAAGAAACTGTTTTTAATAATAGCTCCTTATTATGTACGTTTTCCCATGTAAGTCTGCCCAGCCATAAAGCAATATAGACCATCCTTGTTATTTGCAAAGTTCTGTTCCAGGAAACTACAAATAACAAAATAATAAATAACGGGACCTTGAAATGGGGTGGGAAGATGAGCCCATATTGAACGCATAGTTATTACCTTTCTCTCACAAGCACTTATTCTTTCCCCTATGGAGATCGTCTCAGCAATATATTTGTTCCTCGGTTCACCAACTCCAAAAGTGACATCCTTGTGGCAGTTATACTTTTTATTCTTTGAACTAAGTTGCTTGGATGATGATGAAAGATGTTGTCCCATTAGAGCCACATGACTCTCTGCTGTCTTTCATCCAAATGGCTGTTTCACAATCTCATGTACCACTGGTTTCTACTGCTGCATAGAGATTACTTGGGACTTGCTCCACTGGCTATGATGCTTACCGTATGGATAGTCTTCCCTCCTCTGTGCAAAGCACACTGATAGAATTTTCTCCATTGCTAGTTGAGCAAATCACACCAAATAAGTCCAGCAACTACAAGGACATGAACTATGCAGCTAGACTGACTCAAATAGATCCACCACAATTACAGGAAGAGCAAATACATTATATGGACAACCTAACTATAGTGTAACTTTACACAGTCATAGAATCCTATTCACAATTTTGTGCATAAATAAGGTAGCAAAAAATGGCCCAAACCACAGATATGTAAATACCTTGGCATATACTGAATATATCGAAGTCTGGTCCTTAAGGTGAAAACATACCAAGATAATAAGACAGCAGCTAATAAGAACCACCTAAAAGCAAGGAGTATATGCCTGCAGCTATCAGAATAGTAACACAACTGGAATGTGCAAAACTCACTGTCCCAGATACAGAATGTTCAGGAGAAGTCTGGAATGTCCTGCCATCTTCCAGATCTCACAGATCTGGCATTTCCAATGATAGTTTGGCAGCCGGAGAAATGGAATGTTGCAGACTTCTCCAGAATTGTATGCTATACACATATCTAACTAAAAAACAGCACTATGTAATTAAATAATGAACCAGTTGGAAGCTTATTTGTCCATCAAGGCATAGGTGTGCAGAAAATGAGTATGTTTGCTATGAAATTGGGAAAAAGGGACCTTTCAGCTATTTGTAAATATTCAACCAATGGTTTTTTCTTTAATAGAGGCACTTTATTTATCTGTCACAGTTTCAAAGATTTCTGGAATTGGTCATTTGGATCTCAGAAAATAGTTGCATTCCAAAATATTTCTATTTCCAAAACATCAGAAACTGCCAAATCCACAAGGCCCGCGTCCCTTGACCAATCCAGCCTCTTCTAAGTATTAGCTCAAGAACAAAGTACGGTTAGAATAAAAACAGGCATCAGGTTCCGAACTGTTCTTTGCATCAGCAACTACTAAGCACGCTAATTGTTTTGTTTAACCACTGCAGAAGCTATGGGGCATTTGAAGGTAAGATGAGGAGAAAGGGTTTACATAATTTAGAAATAGCAAGGGCTTTGTACTAAGGATATAACATGCTGATAGCGATAGAATACACAGTAACAAAATAGATTACATAGAAAATACAAAAACAGTCTGAAAAAGTAGAGGAGATCAAATACACAAGGCGTGACTGGAGAAATGAGACCAGAATCAGTAATGATTATAAACAGGACCTCTGAAGAAGGGTAAAGAAGCAAGGAAGATGAAGAATGGAAGAACTAAAAAGAAAAGAAAGCATGCAATCTCCTTAGGTACCACTGGCATGGAGGATCCACTTTCAGAACTTCAGAATGGAGATACAACCATCAGATACGAGTTTTTTTGTAGCTCCATTACTTTATTAAAGCTCCCACACAGATTAAAAGGCAGTTTGCCTATCTAGCCCAGTTTGTTGCTGAATCCAACTCTCTCTCTATGGATTCATGAGTCTTTCCAGTCAACCATCACTGGAAAGCTGTAAGTGGCAAACCAGAGAACCATGATCTCTTGTATGCAAAGCACTTGCTATGGGAAACAGTCCAAGTCACAAAAAAGCCAGAAGAGCTTCGTCTAGGAGCAGACTTCTAAAATTATCTTTTATTTCTATAGTTGTGCTTATTTTAACTAGGGACATCTTCCAAAAAAATTGAATTATTACATCAATAAAACACCCAATTCCTCCCAAAGATGCAAGTACTGCAGCCAGCTTTGAGAGCAAAGCTACAACAAAAATAAAGCTAGATTTAAATTCCATGTAATTCAAAGCAAAAAATGACTGAACTGGGGGCTTGAACTGTTCTGATGAATTTCTGATATTCCAATTTAAAATATAGTGGATGCCTGATGTCACCATAAACAAAAAAAGGTGAAGGTCCTACCCTATGCCCACCTTTAATGTCACTCTCTGATCCCTCAGTCCCTTTAGGATGCTGGTGCCGCTTCCAATAAGATCATCCATGCCACGGTGGGCATTTTGAAGGGATTCATTAAATTGTAATGTTTCATCAATTGGAATGGTGGTGTCAGAATCCTGCAGGGGGAGGGAAGGAAATGGAAGCATCTTGATTATCTTTCCTCGACATTCTTAACCCAAAGCCTCTACAGAGTCAACCATATGCTATGGCCATGAAACTCAAACTTTCTGCCCTCCCAAATTCTTTCCCACTTCTGTCCCCACACTTATAGAAATCCTGTGCTTTAACAATGCATTCTCAAGTGCATTGCTCACTTAATTTTTAGGTTAAAAAAAAAAACCTATGCGAACAACAGCTATTTTTTAAAAAAATGTGGCTGTAAAATTCTGAGGGCTGAAATCAGAAAGCAAGCAAATGTAAGCCTAAGTTCTCTGGTTTTAAGGGCAGGACTTACATTAGTGGTAAATGTTCGAGTCAGAAGCTCCTCACGTTGTCTTTCTTGCTGCTCCCGTGAATAGCGACGATGCTGGAAATTTCGCAGTCCTGTCTGCAGATGCTGAATGTCATATTTCAGCTGGTCAACCCGGCTGAAAAGAAGCAATAGATAATAAGCTCCCCCCGCCCAAATAAAACAATAATTAATGGGGAAAGATTGCAGGAGTATTATAAAGCAACCTGCTATTGTTTAGTGAAACATTCCACATGATTATAGAAAACCTGTGCTCAAACAGTGTTATACTTTTGGCCACATATATATAGATGTACAAAATACCTCTTTAGCTGCTATTATATATTTTAGTTGAAAAGCAAATTTTCATGTCTCAGATGGGAAATTTTTCCAATACTCTTTCTATCAAGACTCCTACTACTATTGGGCCTACTATTCCTATAGTATCCAGTCGCGGGGGGGGGGGGGCGGGAGGCAATGATAACCACAAAAAGCCCTTCTCAATGGCAGCTAAACTTTATAGAACCAAAGAAATCTATCTGAATCACAGCATTTATTACTCCTCACTTTTCATTTGTTTTGGGAGTTTTTTTTTTAATAATAGCAGCATAAAAATAACACAAACCTTGATGTGCATCAGGAAATTAAAATGGGTTAAGATAACAACAAGAAGAAGAATCACTCACAGTTTGGCATTTTGCCGCTTGTTTGGAGGTTCCTTGTTACAGAAGATTTCCAGCCGGTCTAGATTGCTAAAAATTCTGTCTATACGTGCCTGAATTTCATTTTCTACCACTACAGAGGAAAACAAATAAAAAGAAGTTCTTTTGCTGCTTTAAGATGCACAATATTTTCTTTCCAACTAAACATCCTGTTTAATAGAAATGAATACTTCAACTTGCATAGGTCAGATAAAAGGAGCTATCAGGAACTGGATGAATAACCCAATGAGATTCTGGTAAATAATAAATGAGATACAAATAACATGGCTTCACAACTGATACCGATTTTAAAGTCTGTTGAGGCATGTTAAATAAACTGACAAGTTAATAGTAAATTTCTTATACCATATTTTTCTGATCTGTTTTTCTTTGTTGAATTCAACAAAGAGAGTTTCAGATATTATTAGAGGGCAAAATGCTTGTGGCATTAGATTAAACCAACAGTTAAGCTGCTTTTATATACCAATTACTCACAGTGAACAGACTCCTTGTCTGAGGTTTCCAGACGGCCCATGTACGACTGAACTTCGTGGATCTGCCTGTGAAAAAGAAAACAGGAAAAGAGGAAATCTATTAGCTATTCCAAAAGAAAAAGTGAATTTTTCAAGAATAGACACTAATGTACAAAGCAAAAGAGATTCTCCAAATGACTTCTTTGTGTTCAAGTAAACGAATATTATAAGGTTGGTAAATTACATGTACTTCTTAATATTGATACATTATTTTCCATAAGTATTAAAGGTTTTTCCATAAGGGTTTAAATAAGTTTTTATGCAAACCCAATGCAGGATTATAAGCAACCATTTGTCTCCCCAACTGTAGAGACTAAGACCACCTGCAGATGACCAAGAAAGTCAAATTGATTCTTTTCACATCAGACTTGATTAAATACAGTAGCCTTACAGAATCTACCAACTATCACCACATTACTTGCAAAACTGAGGTGACAGAATTGTAGAAAAGAAAAGAAAAATGTGGATGGTTTTTTCCCCATCTCTATTTTTATTAAGATTTGTTTTAAATTCATGGTATTCTGAATATCATTGGTTATTCCAGGCAATTGAAATAAAAAGGCAAGAAATTATAAAGTCAGTATTTTGTTTTTTACATAGTAACCTTTTACGTTCCCGTACATCCATCTAATGCTCCTACCTCTTCCTACCCCTCATGACTAAACACTACATCAGTCTTCCTCAAAAGTTGTGCGCTCCAGGTATATTTTGTAGAAACCAAATAAACTCCAGTCTAAATAGTCTTAAGGAAAATAGTGAGTTGTCTTCAAATATTTAATATTCTTAAAAGGCAAATTTCAACCCAATCTTTAATTGCTTGAATACAATACTTCACTCTTTTTTTTACTTCAATATTTAACTATTTTAGCTACTAGAAAAACCTAAATCAATTTAAACATAGGAGACTTTCTACTTCAAGCAGTTTCTCAAACTTTCACATTCTAATAAAATGAGGGTGTTGATGGATCTGTGCTTTCTAGTTTATCTTAAAACTGGGAGATGCGATGCTTCCATTAATTATCTGGCACATTTCCTAAGGATCATCTCCAAAACAAACAATGGGAGTGAAATAATGGGAAGAACTCAGCCTTGCCAACTGGAAGACCTGTTTTAGAAACAGAACAATTCACACCTGAGGCACAGAAAATGGGACAGGACACTGGAGATCCAGTGGAGAAAGGAGGGGAAGAATGCTCTGCTCCACGAAATCTCCTAGAAATGGATGCACGGCACAGAAATGATGGCATCACATCAGGAGAGAAAGAAAAGGCAATTAGAAGGTAGAGAAAGTGTGGAGCAGATCTGCAAGAAAAAGACCACTGATGTGAAGACAGGGAGCAGTGTGGTGTTATTCTCCATGTAAATGCAAAAGAATAAATGATGGCATATTTTTCCATGTATTTCATTTTAAATATCATTCATAAACTAGATATAAAATTTGGTCTGCATTAGAAAAATATTTATTTATTCATATACATGCATGCATGCATACATGCATACATACATAATACATATACATACATACATACAATTTCTATAGCCGCCCATCTCTGCCAGTTGACTAGATGACTTACAATTCTAATACATTACATATACCCTGTTTCTCCAACAATACGACCTCCCCCAATAGGAAGTCCCAGCATGTTTTATAGGCATGAAATGAAATTAAGCCCCTCCCCCCAAATTAAGGCCTATATTAAAACATGTGAAATGGGGGGGAATGGGGGGGGGCTTGCCGTTAGGAAGTACTTTTGTTGCACACCCGGATATGGTGCTGCCTGCGTTGACCCCGATACGAAGTGCCCCACCAATGCCGAGGTCAACATCCAAGCCGTCGCCGCCCGCCCAAAGATGCAAGGGGGGGGAATTAAGTCACCCCCGAAAAGACGGCCTAGCCATTTTTTCGGGGCTCAAAAAAAAATAAGACCCGGCCTTATTATATGAGAAACACGGCACTAAACATATGAAAAAATAACCACAGCAACCTTTATTTTTCAGAAAGTCATGAAAAGGATAGAATGAAAAAATAAATAGAGGAGGTGGAAAAGGAAGAGGAACTGTTAATGAAACTTAATTTTTCAGAAAGTCATGAAAAGGATAGAATGAAAAAATAAATAGAGGAGGTGGGAAAGGAAGAGGAACTGTTAATGAAACTTTAGGTTCAAAAATGGAAACTGATTTAAACATCTGACTCCAGAATGTATATTCTGGCCCATAGTTCCCATTCTTTTTTCTTTATTTTCCAATCAAAATTGTCTGTATCTATTTGATAAAGGGAAAAACACAACCTAAAATATAATAATGCCTTTCTTCACTTTGATAGTTATATTTCTTTTTATTTCAACATTAGAAGTAACTTGCAAAGAGTTAAAAAAACATACTTTTCTTAAAGGTCAGCATTTTTAACTCCCATTTATAACAGAACTTAAAACAATTTTAAAGGAAACTTTCAACTCTATTGCTTGAATAAGCTATGTTTCAATGTTTTCAATTAATTTATTTCTACCAGTGAATCCTATTATATACAACACATTTTATAGAGCAATGAAGTAAATGCTATCTGGTATGGGTTTTAAAAATTAAATATCACATATATTTCAATTCTCCCTTCCAAAAAATTAAAAACGTTTAATTTCTTCAAATGTGCAGAAATGTTACATATGCAAATATGTATACTTGAAAGAAAATATTCATAGAAATATGTTACTGTCAGTTTATCTGAAGTAAGAATTAATTTTAATTGATGAATTCAATCCAAGGTGCTTAAAGTACCATTTCTTTGAACCAGTATTGATCTAGACAGTATGCTGTCCCAGGAAAACCTGCTAGCGTTCTTCCAATTCTGCTAAGGTGGAGGGGGCGGGGGGGAGAGAGAGAGATCTGTAGGCACTTTCTGATGCAGTGTCAAGCAAAAACCCCTCCCATCAGAATCTGATATAACTCCATACAGTTGGCTTTTTCATAATTAACACTTTTTCAGAATATCTAGGAGGTGACATCATCTGTAATTGTGCTATGTATCTATTATTATTATATTCATGGAGAAAAATCTATTTATGTGGTTGTTAAAAATCAATTTGATCGTGGATAATTATAAATAGTTGTTGGATAGTGGGTGCTGTGTTTGATTCTGATGGATGTAGTAACCTTCCAAGTGTCCTATGATATGGATGATCCAGTAGATAAATCCGAACTGACTTTACCAAGTCATGAAGCAAGAGATTTAACCAGAGGTGGTATTCAGCAGATTCTGACCAGTTCTGGAGAACTGGTAGCAGAAATTTTGAGTAGTTTGGAGAACCAGCAAATACCGCCTCTGACTGGAGATTTTAGTGTCCTTCCCCTGCCAGGCCCACAGAACCAGTAGTAAAAAAAATTGAATCACACCACTGGATTTAACTAATATTTAATGCTATTAATTTTAATAATATGTAGTGTATGATGTTTTATATTACTCTCATTTTATTTTATAGTTACAATGTCATTAAATCATATCTCAGTAAAATAAGCCTTTTAAAACCACAAAAGAAAAGAAAACATACTAACATACTTCTGCAAGGATTTGGATTGGCTAACAAAAAATCTAAACATACACCAGAACAAGTTAGTGAACAAAAACTAAGCTCAGCCGGGGTTGTATGCCAAACCTACAGTACAAACCCAAAATACTGAATAGTATTTTAATCAGATGCAAAGGTTTAGACTTTTTCAAAAATTAAGTAATGTAAGAAGTAAGCACTCAAAACTTGGTACTTAAAGTTAGTATTTGTCCTTGGATTGGAGAAATGGCAAAGACTACATTTAGAAAAAAAGATAATAACACATTATAGCTCAGATGAATTCATGTAGTTGGTCCATTAGACTTCTTCATTCTACATTTGACTTATCAATATGCTGCTGATTGTTTCAGACTTTCCATGCCTCTCATACAATTTCTTTCCCTTTCAAATCAGAATCCATCTTGTCAAACTTTAGGACCATAGTTTCACAAGACAGTCATATGTGAAGGCATATTGTAAATACAACACAAGGAAAATTTGAATCTTGGTTCAAGTATACAGTTGGACCAGGGACACCAAAGTTCAGGTCAATTCATGTTATTACTGATAAAGAACTCACTCTGTTTCAACCTCTGTTTCCTAATAGCAGAAGTGGATTATCTATATTGGAATTTTATTAAGATGAAGAGACAAAGTGCAAGGCCTTTTTCACCTGAAATATTTATAATTATCAAATTTCTTCCAATGAAAAATTAAAGAGAACTAATTTTCTTAGTGTTAATTTACTTCATAGTTTTCTCAATTATGAAGTTTATTTAGCCTATTAATATTTTTTTCCAAAATCTTTAAACCCCATCCAAAGATCTCTGTAGAATACCATAACTGAGAAAACATGAAATTAATGTTTTTAAATGAGGAATCATGGATGCCTTGTCTTGCTCAATAAGAATTCAGATCCTCTTGCCAGAGCCTCAAGTGAAAATTCTCAGTTCATCACTCTGGGCAGAAATACCCAGTTTGCTGTAACGGGAGCTTATGACTTCTCTATTTCAAAAGCATTAGAAATTCAATGAGCAAGTATTATTTTTATGAATTATTTCTCACTTCAGGGTAGCTCCTGTTATTGGTTAATTTTTTATTGAACTGAATCGTTTGGTTATATTGTGTTTAATTGTAACAACATGAAATTAAACAAAGCCTCCTTTCTATAAGCAAAGCGCGTTTTATTACCATTAATATTTTGTACTGGTCCACCGTTTCAGCATGAAATTAATCAAAGCCATCTTTTGTACATCAACGTGAGTTTTATTTCGATTATTAGACTAAGTCCAACTGAGCAATAAGGTTATCTTATGCAGGGGTCTTCAAACTTGGCACGTTTAAGACTTGTGGACTTCCACTCCCAGAATTCCTGAGCCAACATGACTGGAAGAGGAATTCTGGGAGTTGAAGTCCACAAGTCTTAAAGCTGTCAAGTTTGAAGACCCCTAG